CTTGTAATATGTGTTTGGGGGTAATGAGATTTGGTGATGGGTTGAATTGTCCACATTGATTAATTCTAATGATGAAAAAGGGGTAATAAAAGGCAATGTGATTAACTGACTTGATTTATTATGTGTAATGTGTTCTTTATTGAACCCGTATACTTGTGATAGCTGAGGTGATTACATATCATATTGATATTTGATTGAGAGGCATATCCCTTTTATTGATATCATATCGTGCACATGCATTGACATGCGATTGACTGTGAGTAAAGGTCTAACACGTGGAGATCGTCCGTGTTGAGATCAAGTATGATTATAATTTGGGCACGTGGAGATCGTCCCTGCGAGTGATTAATTTGATTATAAGTTGGGCACGTGGAGATAATCCGTGCTGGGGATTGTTTGATTTATAATAGTGCGTTGAGATCGTCCGCACAGACACGTGGAGATCGTATGTGTCGGTATATGGACCTCGCGAGTCCTCCATGGGTCATGAACTCTCGATGTATTTTTGAGGAGTATCATGTATATACAGTTGAGAGAGTACTTGGTATTCTGAGGCATATCATTGCATGGTGTCATATTGCATTGCATCCCATGATATCCTTCATTCTTGATGATTATGTGTTTTATTGGTAGATGGAAAGTACTTGATATTTGATACCTTTATTTGATGAACTTGATCTTGTGTGTTGTTGATATTTGTGAGTACCTTTTTGTGAAAGTTGTGATTGATGAATATTGAGTTTATTGTTGAGGATATGTAATTTGTTAAAGTGATTGTTGTTGAGCAGGGTGCTAAGTTAACTGTGAACTGTTAGGTTGGGCTGGTTTTATGCAGGTTGTAGTTATGGAGGTTCAGTTGAGGTGTAAGGAGTACCCGTATTCTATCCCCTTAGCTTGTGTATAGAGGTTTACTTGCTGAGTACCGTGTGGTTTGGTACTCACCCCTTGCTTCTACATTTTTGTAGGTTACTAGCCTGGACCCTTGTGATATTTTCTCTTCTCCTTGTCTGAGGCCTTTTTACTCTTATTTATGATCTTGTTCTATTCTAGAAACAATGTCATTTGAGACTTGTGTTTTTCTTTTGAATCAATGTAATACTTTAGAGGCTTGCACATGTGACAACCATATTTTGGGGGTATTTTTGAGTTGATTATAAAATTTTCTGCATTTTATTGTAATGGTTGAGTTTTAGGCTGACTTGTCTTGGTGGGATAAGACGAGTGTCATCACGTCCATTTTTGGGTCATAACAATATCGATTCATATAACTGAAGCATATATGAAGAAATTCGACATGTGAAAAGTAAAAAAAAATCAATATCAAATATGTAAGTGATAAATTTAAAAAGATAGTATTTAATATTAAACAACACGGAAAAAAAAATGGTAGAAAGGGATAGAGTATTCAAAATTATGCTTAAATTATTATTAGGATTTCAACAATTTGGATAACTGTAAACACTTAAATTATGAAATATAGTCAGACATTTCTATGACAATAACTCTCAATAACAACATTCTACTTTAATAACCAGGTTTTATTTGGAATTGATATTTTTTTGGTCTAAAATTGAAAATTATATTCGACAAAATTTGATATTTACAAAACTATTGGTTCATTTGGACTCTGAAACAAGGCCACTGAAGTAGTATAGCAACCTATCTTGACCGTACAGTTTATAATTTTCAAAAAGCGAAGTTATTTAACTTTGTCAAATATACTTTTATTATAGTTTGATTTTGAGATATAGGTATTAGGTATTTGTATCTTAAATAAAATCCACTCCTAATTATGCATAAGGACAATTTTTTCAACATAATTGTTTTTGTATATCATCAACTAATAAATAACTAAGAAATTTGTTTATAATATATAGTCTCATAGTTGTCATCATTGGCAACTTAAGAAGTTTTATAAAAGTATTCAAGATTTAGTACATAACTAGTAATATTCGTTTCTGTAATATAATTTTTATATTCATCTGATGATCCTTTATAGCCAATTTTTTATAAGATGAATGTATCGACAACCTTTAAATATGTCGATAAATTTTATTTAAACACTCGAATTATAGATTATCCCGATTAAGCATCTTAGTAAAAACTTCTTAATCAAACTTTTGAAAAGCTTCGGCTCATATTTCTCATTACATTGATAAGTTAACCAAATAAAATATGTCACACATCAATCTTAATTGGAGTATATATATATATCACTACTAGAAAAATGCAAATTACATGGGGATTTATTTGCAGATTATTTATGAAAATTCGCATGTAACCTAGTGTCCTGCAAATTTTCCTACTAAAAGTATCTGATGGAAAAACCTTCATAGGTAATTATTACCTGGGGATTTTACGACCGCATATAAATTATCTACGCATTTTCTTGCGGACATATTAAAAGGTCGCAAGAAAATTTTGGTAAAATTTCGTGTATGGAAGGCAATTTCTTGTAGATTTTCATATGAAAAAATCCGCAAGTAAGTTCCTAAGGAATTTTTGGCATAAAAATGTAGAAAAGAGGGATTAATTTTGTTTTTAATTCACTTTATTCATATTTATTTTTGATGAGTGCAATTACTACTTTTCAGGATATATAGAAGTTAATTTTTTCTATTTTAGCCAGCCTACCCCATTAATTATTTTGATCTTATTCCAAGATCTACGTATAATCTCAAGCTGCCAACTTTCGCCAATATCTCATATCCTATGCCTATGTAGATGGAATTTACTCATTATAATGGTCAATATGTTGTTGTCTGTTTCCCATGTGGTACTGGGAGACTGACTATAATTTTCCTTCCAGTTTTCCATCCCCAAAATTAAAATGTAAAATAATTATTATTTTTTCTTTCTTCCTCTGGAAAAAAAAAATACGGTTAGTATGGAACTTAAATATACCTACAATTAAAAAGGATAAAAAATAAATTAATTTTCTTACATATAGCCATCTTTAATTAAATTTATAAATATTCTTGAACCATCAATAATAAATGAGTGAAAATCATTTATATCCCTTAATTTTATTTCAAAAATCAAACATCTTATTTGATTGTCATTTATGAAATATTATCTAAATTATAGATTAAAATTTGTTTACAATACAAATCGATAGTAATATATTTTTAATTTCTTTTAAAATCTACCTCTGTTTTTATTAAATACTTTTTGCACTGCATTGCGATATGATATGTTTATAAAGCTATCACTATATGTTACTTTCACTTAAAGTAAATACATATTATAGTTTTGATTAATATTTTTAATAAAACTAAATTTATTATTTTTCTCATTTGTTTAATAATCGAACATCATACTTATATACTCTCTTTTTTTGTCTTGAAAATAATATTATTTTTTCTATAGGTAAATTTATTGTC